CCGAGTGGAGGACAGCTTCCTTTTGTTTGGTGATCAAAATTAGGGATGTAAACAGCTCTCACGGAGTAATTAGTCTGTGCTTGAATCGGGAGGAAGTGATAAAAACAACGCCGTGGCAGAGCTCTTGGCGACGTCGTGCGGCTGTACCCCACAGCCCAACGCAGCCGTGTCGCTCGCTGCGTGGGTGGGGCGAGGCTTTCGGAGGTGGCTGATCCCGGTCGTAGAGCAGAAGTCACACGGGAGGAGAAGTTCCATTGCAGGAGGTCGCTAATGGCTCTTTGGAAACCCCCTCTTGCTCAGGGGAGGAATGGCAGTTTTTGAAGTTTCCTGGTGAAAACTGCGATCTGTCATAATTCCACAATTCGCACAAATGTCCCCCACAGACCCAGTTTCTCTGCCAGCAGAACTTCATGGATGCAGTGGTGGGAAGGTCCTCACCATTTTGTGCTTTTTGGCCCGTGCCTGAGCTCTAAATGGTTGCCTTAGTGAAGCCGCAGCTGCCTGATCCCCCTGCAGTCGTGGCTGGCGTCTTTGACAGTGACTCCAGTAAAGCTGTTTCTAGCCAGACGCAAGGCCATTTGCCCCATCCGTGTCTTGCTAAACAGGTTTCTGTGGAAATTAAATAAATAAAATCTCCACCACTGGTGCTAATTGGTGGCTTTGGCAGCCTGAGCGGGGGCTTGTGAATTGAATGTGTCATGGAGAATTGAACGTGTCAACTCTCTCCCAACGGCTGGGACCTTGAGGTCTTTTTCTGGTACTAAATTTCCTTTGAAAAAAAGAAAATGAAAAAAAGGGAGAGAAAACAAGCTGAAATAAGAGATCTTTTCCCTTTTTTTTTGAGGAGATGTTGAAGTTGAGCATTGCAGGGCGCACAGACTGCCGCGCTTTCTTGTCGGATGCCTTGGGAAGCGGGGCCGGGCTCTGCCTTGGTTTCTCAGCCGTGCCGTTTGCTGCCGTCAGACGCTGCGCAGCGCGGGCTGGCGGGGTGGCGTCAGTCTGTTGGAGCATCTGGCAGGATAGCCATGAAGTTGTTGCCGATGTCCTTAGGGGACTGCAGGGATCAGCGTGATTCATTCAGTGTTTTTTCTAAGTACAAAGAAGAGATGTCTTACACTGTAGTAAATACGGTTCCAAGTAGAGCACAACCGGCTTACCAAAGCTCAGGAGATTTGCTGCTTTGGAGACGCTGACTGGCAGCACAAGCTCCTGTTCCTTTGGTCAAGAAGATGCTAACCCCCAAGGAGTTAAACTGGGCTGTTGAGGATTGGCAGAACCGTGTCCACAAACCAATTCGCCTTTCAAGATGTCCTGACTAGGAGGGGAGAAGGTTATCACTGTCAGGCTTGGAGTTATTTGGATGTCAGGAAAGGTTAGTTGTGGTTCAAGCTGCCGTCAAAGTTTGTTGGTGATGAAGCCAAGATTTTGTGTGCAGGGGACTGGGGAGAGAAGGGTTGAGGTTTTGTTTTTTTTTTCTTTTCTCTTAGTAGAAAGTGTACTACTATTTCTTTGCCAGCGGTGTCACCGATTTGTCTTTGACAATTTTACGTTTCCTTAGGGAAAATGGAGGAAGGAAGGTCAGTTCCTAGTTGTCTTTCAGCACGGGCCAGCCACCAGTCCTAGAGCACAGATGAGCCCTGTCCTCTTCCACAGGCATCTTCCCTTCCAAGATTTCTGCAGAAAGGGCTGAACTGGGTACGTTCTCCTGCGGGATGCAGTGCTCAGCCAAAGGGATTTTACACTGGAGGCACCTTCAAAACCGGCCCGTTTTGCAGCGGTTTGCAGAACTTGGCAGCGAGCACCTCTGGAAAGTCCATCACCTGAGCTGGGGCGTTCCCTTCGGGAACGTGTGCACTTTTTGCCTTTTCTGTTCTTCCATGTTTTCTTAGGTTTTTTTTTCTGTAGTCCAGCCCTGACCTCCTCAGCAGATAGCTTCAGAATCAAGTGTCCACAGCTGGTGCCCATGCTCTCCTCAAACCGCCGCAAAACGTTGCCTATTTTGTTGTGGTTTTTAAAGAAGATACGAGCAAAATGAGTCCAGGGAAAGATTTTATCTGTGCGCTTTTCAGATGTGTCGATCTGTGGACTTCGAAGGCTCCGTCTTTGTCAGGGTCCGCTGACCTGCCTGAAACATCCGCGCGTTTCCCATTAAGCTGCTCTTTTCTCCCAGTCCTCATTCACAGAGACATTTTTCTCTCCTGCGCTATTACTTCCCCGAAATGACTAGTTAAAGGGTATCGCACAGCATATTCATCTTTCAAGTGCAGTCCTTTCAAGTAGTGCCAAGAATGATAAACCAATGGATTTCAAACTTCTGCTTATCGGAATAAACCCACAGAGCTTAAATATAAAATGAAATTCTTCGGACCCATGGTAAAGAACATCGCCACTGCAAAGACATGACGACCGCTTGATATTTTCCCCTCTGAATCCTCTCTCCTGGTTGAAAAGCTTTATATTAAAAAGCTGGTAAACCAAATGAAGAAACAATAGAAGAGTGACTTTGGAGCTGGCTGGCAGGATAGGAAAATGCCACAATGTTTTCTCAAAGTCACGCTAGTAAATGTTGCAAACTCAAATTTGTTTCCCGTTTTCATTCTGGAGTAAAATAATTTAAATTTGCAGAATTTTCCAGTGGCAGAGAAGATTTAGAAACACTCACAGGAAGCACAAGCTTTAACAGGCTGCGGCTGTCTGTGATACTCATCCCTGCCAAACAATGTTCGCCTCACTGAAGTAATTATTGAACCTTCCCTGTTGTAAACTGTGAAATTTTAAGGAACCTGTTGGCAATATGAAAAATGTTTCTATCTGGTGTACCCGGCTGCCTGTGTGTTGTGTTGCCTGCAAGTGCTTTTCTGCGTTAGGGACAACGTTGCTGTATTCCAGCTGGGAATACGTGGTCACCTGTGCTTGTTGTGAAGGTGATGGTCGTCACCGGCCCGGCTGCAGAGCCGTCGGGAGCCTTCACAGCACGAAGTACAGCTCGAGCCAAGCGAGAGGCAGCAGAGGGGAGGTTCTGGGTTCAGCCCGTCCTCCCAAGGTGTGGTACGAGCCCCCTTCACACCGTTACTTCACAGGTTTGCTAGCTGTGTTCTCCTGAGTGTGCTTTCTCCTGGGCCTCCGTTGCTGCTGCGAGGATGCTGCCAGGTAGAAGAAAGCGGGCAGATCAGGTGGGATGTGATGTTTCACCTTGGTCAGCGTTAGGGAGCCGGTGCAAGCAACGTCCTTGCTCGCTGCCCAAAGCACAGATTTTTTTATCTGTCTCACGCTCCAAGGGAACACCGAGGCTCGAGAGCCGGGGTTTCTTCTGTTTACTGTTTGGTTTTCACATTTCTCTGGAGTATCAATAGATCTCTGTGGTTAAGAGAGCAGGATGGTTTTGTGATTCATCAGTACAATCTGCATCATCTTGCTGATACAGAGTAGGGTTCTGCTTCAGTAGCCGCTTGTGCCTCCCAACCAGCGTTACCCAGCGCGTTTTCCCTCTCTTCATAGCAGCTGGGTCACCGAGCGCCCAATCTGCAGCCAGAGAGCTCCATAGGGGTTCTGGGGTCTCTTCTTGATGTGACGTGGCTCCAAAGCAAGGGCTGCCATGTCCACGGGACAAGGGCTGCCTTCGGCCACACCCTGTTTCCCTGATGGGCAACAGATTAGGCTCTGAGGATGTTCATATGTCACTGATTTACTGTGCTGGGTGGGAGCTATTGAAGCGTGAGTTTTCCTTGTGTCTACACCTGCAATCTTGTGCTATGCATGGAAGTGAGTGAGTGATGCTCTCCAAGTGGTTTCCCTCCTGCTGGAAATAAAGCTGAAGTCACAAGCTGGGACACTGTGTTGAGCATCCCACCTGCAACGTGGGTGCGAGGTCCTCCCGCAGTGAGCTCTCCACGTGTGCCCCGAGCATCCCTGCGAGCAGACTTTGTTACTGGGGGGCATTACAGATTGCAACAAGTCAAATTTCAGATATTTTCAAAAAGAAAAGCTTCTGTACTTTGAGGGTGACGGAGCCCTGGAACAGGCTACCCAGAGGGGTTGTGGAGTGTCCTTCTCTGGAGATATTCAAACCCCACACCTGGACACGGTCCTGTGCAGCCTGCTCTGGGGTTGGACTGGATGATCTCCAGAGGTCCTTTCCAACCCCCCTGCCACTCTGTGATTCTGTGAAATCTCGGTGCTTGTTTCTTCGTCCCATGCCTGTCACGTTGTAGCTGGCCCCCGAGGATCTGCCTGTGGGCCCCGACCTCCCCTGGGCCGGGTGGCGAGCTGCCCGGGTTGCGTGCTGCGGGAAGAGTTGCTTCAGATGTTTGTGGTGGAGAAAGTGGCAACAACCCGTGTTTGGTCCCACAGACCACCCGGTAGGACCATGCTGCCAAAGGGATAAACGGGGGATTAAGGCGATGAAAACTGTCTGCTTTGCGGCAGGTGAGGCGGATGCTGGTTTGGTGCTGCCAGCCCTCAGCAGCCTGCACTGTCCCACCAGTGGCAAATTCTCCTGTAGCTTATCTTCCTTCTTGCAATTGAGATGAGCGTCCTGCCTCCAGTCCCACCCAGTTTCAAACAGGGGGGAACAAACCTTAGCTCTGACGTATACAAGGCCGTTTAAATAAGGTCCTGCTTTAACCTGATTTTCTGC